ATCTGGCAGCGCAGTTCAAAGTAGACCGGCGGACAATTCGCCGCGTGCGATGTTTTTTTGCAGCTGTGTATTTGCAGGTGCAGTTGGTCATTATCGGATGTCTTGTCGTTCGAGCAACTCTTGTCCCTCCTGATGTTTTTGGTTTCCGCTTGAGTTGGGACGAAACTGGCCAACAGCTTTCGCTTGTGACAAAAGAAGGGAGGGAACCGTCCACGTATCAAGTGATGGCCGCCAGGATGTTTATTGTCATCTGTTGGGGACAGGAGGTGTACGAGTTTGGCGTGGCGATGCCCCCGCTGATCGTTGCCAGCACGGCGGCTTCGCAGATCTTCAAAGTGTTGTACACCCACCCAATGCTTGCAAGGATTTGGCGGGGCATTAACGTCTTGATGCAGAAAGCGGTCTTCACTGTTTCACTTGGGGAGACAGATGCTGCGATGCCGAACCAGATGTTGAGCGCAGTTCAATTCGCAAACGTCGCTGCGGGTGAGCATCATGACCACTGGTACTGTAGCCTCCACCAAAACCAGTTATGCGAAGTATCCGTGACGACAATTATATCCCATGCTCCGTTCCACTTGATATCCAGGTTGTATAGTTTGGCCTTGTTGTTGCGCGGGGGGGCAGCTTGGTTGCGCATGAAGAGAAGTCTCCCCGCGCTGCTAGCCGACGACAGGGTACAGGTGCGCGCGGGCGCGCCCCCGGCAGGTGCCGCCGAGTTCAGCAGGGAGGTGTGCCAATACATGATGTGTAATTACATGCGGTTTGCAGTTACTACTGCCCGGAAACACCACTGGTTAGCCAACGTCGGTTTCGACGGCGACCCGGGCGAGGACACCGACGCGGACCAGTGGGGCGCCGACATTGACGATGACCGGGAATTCAAGCATAAGGGTTTCGATGCGTATGTCAAATCCCTGAGAGAGCTCAGGGCTGTGATGAACGGGTGCTGGTGGTCCCCTTACGCCGTCCAGCACTTCTGCAGTGGGGCGTGCGAGTGCACGACGCTCGCAGAGCACGTGGCGAAGCTCGCCCCGGCGATTACGAAAACAGTGCTCCATCATATGCCACTGGTGCCCTCCGTGAACAAGTGGACCAAACTTGGGCCTTGCGTGGATGTGCTGGTGTTTGGGCTCCTGGCTCATCGCGTCCTCCCCGTGTGCTTTGAGAGCTTGAAGTTCAAGGCTCCGCCCAGCAGGGATGACCATGAAGCTGATGACCAATTCAAGTTTGAGGCCGATTTTTCGGCGCTGCAGGGCAAACGATTTCGCTTGGCGCTGGACATGCTGAAAAGCGAGGCCTCGGTCGGATGCATAGTGATGCTCGGCATAGTGCTGGAACCTGTGCGGCACGTGTCGGCTTGGCTCATGAGACGGGCGCGTGAGTGTCCGGATCCCTGCGGGCGCCCTGCTGTCTTAGATTTCTTCAACGACCGCTTTAACCCTGTCGTCCACGCGAGGCAGTACATCTCAACTTTGCTCAGTGGCCGCGCCACGCGCCCGGTGCTGCTGTGGAGGATTCGGCAGCGCGAGTCCCTTCAAGATTGGTTTGGCAAGCACCCCGAGGACATCCGCCTTTTCCGCAGATTGCTTCTCGCTTTGGATTGCGCATTATTTCGCCGGCATTATTGCCCGTCGAGGCGGTTCCCTTGGGGCCTCGTTCGTTTGTGCGACGACCGCTTCTCCGCAGCGGAGCGGGAACAGTTGGCCGAGAAGTTCTTCCGCACGCCCGAGTGTTGCTTGCACCCGGGCTTCGCGCGGAAGGTGGCCTCTGCGCTGGCGTCCTCCAGGGAGCTGCTGACAGAGAAGTGGCTGGCCAGGCTGAGGGTGTTGGTCCGCGTCCTCACATTGCAAGTCGCTGACGTCGAGTGGCGCCACGGCCGCAACCGCCAATTTGGGAACAACAACGGGTTGAGCTCTATGCATCAGATGGTGGCTCGGAGCGTTTGTTCTGAGGCAGTCGTCCTACACGGTGCTGTTCGGCGACGCCGCGATCTTCTTCACCGCCGCCAAATGCCTCCGGCTCGCCAGGCCGTCGGCGACGGCGGGGCCGTCGGTGGCGGCGATGGCCGCGCGGCAGGCAGGGTGCGGGCGCCCAACCCCAAGGATTTATTCATCCTTGATTTCCACGCAGGTTGCACCGCGCGCGACGAGCGCGTGAATCCCGTTCTCCAGGACTCGGACTGGGGAAGGGCGGGGAGGAAGGTTTGGCCCACCTGTGCACCGAGCCTGCGCGTTCCCTGCCCCAGCACCCCCACACCGCGGGGGGGAGTGGGGGGGTGCTGGGGCAGGGAACTCGCGGGCTCGTTGCCCAGGCGGGGTACGGTCGCTTTGCTCTGCCCCGCCCCCAGGACACCAAGGACCGCATCGACCGGGAGTTCGCCGAGCTCACCCCGGAGGCTGTGGCGGAGTATGGCAGGCGGTCCGAGTTGATGAAGGCGGCCGCGGCGCAGAACAGAGAGAAAAGGAAGCGAGACAGAGAATGCCGCCAGGCCGAGGTTTTCGCGCCCTCGACCTTCGCCGCTTCCCGCGGCGCGTTCAGGCAAGACCACGCCGGCGAGCATTTTTCCAGTCTTCTGGAGTCGTGCCAGTGCGGGGCTCCTCGCTGCAGGCACTGGGCGCTGGCCGCCAATCTGAACGCGGCGGAGCCAGAGGTGGAGCACCTGGAATCGGATAAGTTCGCGTTGTTCACTGGCGCCGCCCAGGCCATAGCTTCTCGGGCGCCCACTTTCCCATCAGGTGACTATCCTTTGACGGTCCCCTCATTGAAGAGAGCGCTCAAGAGTAATACTCTGAGCGCCTGCGAGGCCGAGTTCAGGGAGGTGACGAACGGGTACGTTTTGGCACCTCCACGGTTCCAGTTCCCAGAGCGCGTCGCCTACCCAAAGTGCTGTGGTGCGCTTTGCAGCAACACAAATTCTTTGAGCAAGGCGCGGGCGTACCTTCGATTGTTGGCTGGATTCGCTTCCTTTTCGGCGAAGTTCAAGCCCGCGGATTTGCCAGAGCAGGATCTGCTACTTCTGCTGCATGGGAATCTTGGGAGCGGTGCCAGCATCCTGGAGTACGCTTTCTTTCCTCATGCCGCTGGGCGTTTTTGCCACCACCCGCCAGAACAGACGTTCGTCAGGCTCGAGGCCGCTGGGGACGGAGACCAGACCCACGTCATCGGCCTGGAGCTCAAGGTCGCGCGGGAGCGATTCGTCGATCCTGGAAAGCGGTGCCAAGGACGATTTAATCGTCAGAGGTCTCGGGCGGGGTTGGTGGCAGAAAAGCTTCCTGCAAGCGACTCGCCGTGGCCCGCTCCGTTGTTCGCTCGGCCCCCCCGCCCTTTCCCCACCCGCCGCTTGGTCGGCACCGGGGGGGTTTGCGCGGTCGGTCGGCTATGTCGTCTGGGCCGCGACGTTCACGTTGGTACCCCCAGGTGCCGCTCGCCGATGGACCAGCAGGCGCAAGGCGCTAAGGTCGGTTGAAAACGAACGCCCCGTGTGAAGGTTGTACCCAATAGCAGTTCTTGCAACCAGGGGGCGAGATTTCGTCACGTGGTTGCCCGTGCCGCCTTGTGGGCGCCCCTTGCGCTGGGCGTGTCGGCCGAGGTTTCGCCGCGCGGCCGCCCGCGCCGCCTCGTGGGCGCTCCGTGCGCTGGGCGGGCGCTTGCACCGCATAGCTTGCGCATCACAGCTTCTCCCGCGCGGCGTGCGCTGCGAAGTTATCATATCTTGCTTGGCCCGCATAGATTGCGCCACGTGGCGGGCACCGCAAAAGGCACACACTCACGCTGCCAGGGTTTCCCAGAGCCCCCCCCCAGGGGTCGAGACCAGGGCATCCAGGGATGAGCAGGGGGCGGGGGGTGGCGATAATGCGGGTGCTCCTCCTCGTCCTTCTCCTCCTCCTCCTCCGCGCCGCCCCCCCCTGCCCGCGTGTCGACGTGCGCCCACCACCCCCCTACCTCGGCATCAACCGCTGTGGAGGCGTCAAAGGAAGGTCGGGGCGCCCGATTGTCGGCCATCCGCATTTCGGCATTTTTGCATTAGCGGGCCGCGGGGTTGAACAATCGGCCGGTCGAAAACAAACATAGTCCGGCGCGAACCTGCGCGGGGGGGCCCACCAGCGGGGGGACGCCAAGGCGCCCTTTTTTTTGTTTTTTTTTTTTTTTTTATTTTTTTTTTATTTTTTTTTTCTTGTTTTTTTTTTTTTTTTTTTTTTTTTTTTTTTTTTTTTTGTTTCTTTGTTTTTTTTGTTTTCTTATTTATTTTTTTTTTTTTTTTTTGATTTTTTTCTTTTTTTGGGAGAGGAGGAGGAGGAGGAGGAGGAGGCAGAGGGTGGAGGGAGGAGGCGGGGGGCAGGGGAGGAGGGGGACCAAGAGGAGGGGCGCGATAATGCGGGTGATCCTCGCCCAGGCGCCTGCGGTGCCCCCTCCTGCTCCTTCCTCCTCCTCCCGCTCCTCCTCCGCCCAGTACCCTTCCGTAAACGTATTTTTCTCAAGCTGTTGCCCCCTGTTCGGCTGGCGATTATCGGATCGATGGCGTCCCTGGAGACATATGTGGGCCGCGGGGCCCACGATTACAGGGTCATCATTCCCTCGGTCGACCGGCCAGCTGTGCTGTGCAACACAACTCTCCATTTTTTGATTAATGTGCAAGCCGTCCCGCCAGAGAGGATCCACGTGTGGGTGGCAGACGCTACACTCCCACGCCAGACGCTTCCTGAAAAAGACCGCTACGCGGATGCTCTGCAGAGCCGCGGGTGGGACAGAGTGCAGCTTCGGGTGGGCGTCCTGGGATTGACGGCCCAATGGAACCACATCGTGAACGCGTACCCCCAGAACACGTACATCGTGTGCGTCCTCGACAACGTGCGGCGCATCCACCGGCGCGTGGAGAGCCGCGCTGGCCGTAAGAAGATCGAGCTGGCCAGCCCTCTTTTCAAGGCGCTGGTGCAGCACGCCGGCGATCTCTGTCACCGCCATGGCTCGTGGATGTGGGGTCTCTGCCCTGCCCAATCCCTGATGAGCATGTCCCCCAATGGCATCAGCAGAAAATTTGGGTTAGTGCAAAACGCAGTGCTGGGCTTCTGGACCCGGCGGGACCCCTCCCTCTGTTGCAAAGGCTTTTGTTTAGACTTGGAGTATTCTTGCAGGTATTGGCAGTCCGACGGAATTCTATTGCGATATGAGATGCTGTGCGCCTCGCGCCCGTACGGAACCGCGGGTGGGCAATCGACCGTCGCAGGCAGTGGCCGCCGAGAAGTGGAATCTACGCACATCCAAAAATTGGCACGTGAGTTTCCCCACCTTTTGAAGTATGCTCCAGAAAAAGGCACCAAAACCGTCCAGCCAGTGCGGATTTTTCCTGTGGGCCCCAGCCCGCTGCAGCTCAAGACGGAGACCACAAGGCAGGTGATCTTCGCGAAACGACCCGCCAGCAGCACGGAGAAGTACAGGCGGTCCCGTGGCCTCCCACTGAACACACGGAAAAAACTCAAGCCAGGACGCAAGCCCCTTGGCAAGAAAGCTATGTCCCGTGCAGAGATCAGCCGTCGGCAGCGCGAGCGAGCGCAGAAAAAACTATCATCGATCATCATATTCCGTTGTCGCCGAACCATGGTTGTGGCAGATCTGTTGGCCGGCCCGTTGCGCAAACGCGCCGTTGCCGGCGCCCCAGGGGGCCGCGGCCTCCTTCCCGCCCCTGTCGTCGTTGCGGAGAATCGACTATGTGTAGTTCCCCTATACAAAAAAACAAAAATACTCCTCTCCTCTCTCCTCTGACTTGGTCCGCCCTCCTCCCGCTCGCGCCACCGCCGCCGCGTGGGCAGCGAGTGGGCGGTCAGCAATGATCCCGCGGCCCCCGCGGGCGTCGCGTGGTGTTCGCAGGCAATGCAGTGTTCTACGCCCGCCTGGCGTCCGTGTGTTTGGCAATGTCCAAGTGGCCCCGCGGTGTTCACAGGTCGAGCGGTGTTCAGAAGCTGGCTGTTCATGTTTTTTTCGCAACGTCCCGAAACCGCGTGTTGTTTACAGGCCTTGTGGTGTCCACGGACATCAGGTTGTGCGCAAAAGGGGTCCACTGGTCCTGTGGTGTCACAGGCCTATCCTGTCCTGGATTGACCCGACGGGCCGCGGAAAGCCAAGTTACGCGCGAACTGCGCGATACTAATTGTTGGCCCGGAAACCGGTGTGGCGACGACGACGACGACGGCGGCGGCGGCGCGACGGAGGCGATGACGACGACGACGACGACGACGGACCGACGGCGACGACGGACCGACGGACCGAGTTATGAAACCTGAGGGGAAGCGGCCAGAAACACTTGGGCTCCCCGCCTTCGCCCCCCCCCGGTGCGTGAGAATCTGGAAGAGTGAGCTTTCAAAAACAACCTCACGCCTTAAAGGGCTGGTGGGATTAACGACAGTGCTTAGCACGAGTGGCCAAGCGGACAATTGCAATTGCTCCTGCAACGGTCGTCAATGCCACGGGGGGCGGCGCGAACTGCGCGATACCAAACGTTGGCCCGGAAACTGCCCCGCATGACCCCGGGAGGCACCAACAGTGGCCTGAGAGAGCTCAGGAGGAAGACGGGGTGCAACAGATGGAGGCAGATGGGGGGAGAAAGACGAGGAGGAACAGCAGGAGGCGGAGGAAAAGGAGGAGGGGGAGGAAGAGGATCGGGAGGGTTCTGTTTAGCATGCGCCCGCGTGGCTCCCTGGTCGGCGGCGCACCCCAGAGATCCCCAGAAATGAGCGGTCGGGGGGTAGCTGCACGACAGTAGCATGTCTTCTTCAGGCGTCACAGCGGCTATGTCCGAGCAGATGCTCGCCCGCCGCTTCGTGGAATTGGCCACAACGTCGATGGACCAAGTGTGTGAGCTCAAGTCGGTAACCCTGAAACCCTTGGCGTACCGGGACATCTGCCTGGACCGCGTTGTCATTCAAGGCTTCCACGGCACTGCGCAGCCGTTCGAAATCGACGTCGGCCGGGAAGCGCCGAAACCAAAGCCAACGAGTGGAGCAGCGCCCAAAAAGGGCGCCGTTGACTTGTGCGGCGACGTGTTGGGCGAGTCCACTGGCGCTGGCGTTGCCGCGCACAAGGGCGCGTCGAAGGCGGGCGGCGGGGCCGCCGTGGTTGACGCCGGCACCGGGGGCATTCCATCAGCAGGCCCCTCTGGCGCGAGCCCCCCGCCCACCGAGAGCGCCGACATATCTGGCATGATGAAGGAGTTGGGCCTTTCAGCCTCAGACATTTCGGAGGGTGATTTTATGAAAGCCGACGGTGTCATGAAAGCAGTGGTCTCCGCATTGCCTGAGAATGTAAAGGCGGAGCTCGCTGATATTGGTGTTACTGTCGCAGAGCTGGAGGCCGCTCCAGAGGATGATGAGCCCGAGTCGGTCCACAGTGTCACCGACGGGGAGCAGGACATTGACTGCGACGGCGATCCAGGCGACGAGGGGGGGGTGGCCGACGAGGAGCAGAGCGAGGGGGAACCCTGGCCTTGGACGCACATCGAGGAGGATCCGGCGGCCGCCTACAAGTTCCTGTCCAAGGAAGACGGTTCGCCCGTCGGCCGCCTGCAGAGGAGCGGCCGCCGAAATGGCGATCGTAATTGTTGGGTGGTCCCAATCAACAAAACGATCAGCAATGCCCTCCCGCCAATAGCCCCCGTGCGTTGATTCGAAGATGCGCCCCGCGAACACAGAATGACGCAACGGGGGTGCCCGCGACGCGCGGTTGCAGACTGCGGCGCCTCTGGCCGAGTGGCAGGCAGAGGTGTCGGGCAGACTGCAGCCGCGAGTCGTGAACACCTCCTGCTGGGTTGTAGTAGCGTTCCGACCAGGATGGGCGCCGCTTCTCTGAAGGCCACGTGCACCGTGCGCGGCCACGGCAGGTGCGGCTGCTGGGTTGCCCTCAAGCCCCCTGGCGATACTGAGCCAGATGTCCAGCGTCTCGAAAGGGAGTTGGTCGAATGGTTGGCTCACGGTCTTACTGACACAGAGGATGAGCATTATCGAAAGTCCGCGGCTCTTCGCAGGGCCAAAGGCATGCGAGTGAAGGACTAGCAGTCTCTCCGCGCTTTTCTCCCGATGTGGCGTCGCGAGAAAAACAAAAACGTGCATCTTCGCGGGGCCCAGTCCCGCGCCGTGGTCGTGCCTGCCCCTCCTCCCTGTTCGTCCTCCCTCCTCGTGGCCCACGGCCCGTCGGCTTGCCCGTCGGTCCCGTCGGCCCTGTTCGGGGGTCCCCTGGTCCGTTCGTCTCGCCTCGTTCGTGGCCCGTCGGCGTCCCGCAGGAACGCGCCTAATGTGTAGATGTTTATTAAACCGTCTTACTGCTAACCTATTGCTCATCAGCTGCGTCTTCGTCTCCTTCGATTCCTCCTGGACGCGCGCTGAGAAGGTCGCCTACCTTCTGGCCGCGGGGGCGAGCAGGGCGAGGAGGGGCCTCTGGAGGCCCCCGCTCCTCGCTCTGTGGACGGACTCGCCTCGACTTCTGGCTGCGGAAGGCCCCTGGTGGCCCCCGCCCGCCCTCCTGGGGTGCCGCGCCTAGGCCCGAGGGCCTAGGCTGCCTGTGCGTCGGGAGACTGGGTGGGTCCCGACGCGCGGGCGCGGCTCCGGGATCTCCTCGTCGCCACTGCGGCCTCGCGTGGGGCGCGAGGCCGCGCTCGGGGCGGTCCTGGCTCGACTGGACCGTTCTATGCCGCGCCGATCCTCCCCTATTCCTCCTCGTCCTCTTCCTCGTCCTCATCCTCCTTCTCCTCTTCCTCTTCCAGGGTCGGCATCTGCTCAAGTTCCGCCACTCGTGGGATCCATTCGGACGCGAACGGAGAAACGCACACGCGTCAGAAGGGGCGGGGGTGCTCGTAGGGGGGGCCTGCCCCCTGAGAAAGCGAGCCCTCTTTGATAGCCTTCCTGCCTGCTCAGAAGCTTCTCTGAGAGGCCTTCGTGCTCCCATGCGCCCCGGCTGCGTGTACCTCCGCCACGGCGCGCTATTGTGTAATTCCTCTACTATTTGGCCCGCGTGTTGTGCAGGCGCTCACTTTAAAGGAGTAAAAGAAGGGCAGTTCGTCCTAGCGCACCTAGTTCGGCTTCGCGATGGAGTGTGTCTCCGCGCCGCCACGAAAAAAAACGTCTGCGCTGATCGTGTTGTCACGGAGCGCACGTCCTAACTTCGCCGCACCCCGAGGGCAGCCATCCCTCTGAGCCACCGCCATCCCGCATCCCGCATCAGCCCGAACCGCGCGGAGTTTCTTCGCACCGCGTCCAACGCGGAGTGCCCCGCCCGATTGGGCGCACGCGCGGCTGCCGTGCGTCTCCCAACGAGGCGCGCGGCAACCGACGCCTGTCTGGAAATTGCGGCTTGGCTGCTGCGCGGCCGCGTGGAAGTTCAGAGCAGGGTTCGGGCGGGCGCACTCGCCCTTGCGATGGCCGCCGGAGTGCAAAAAAAAACGCGCTGACCGAGCAAGGGCGGGCTCGAAGCCCCATCCCCCGCCCCCGCACGAGGGAGCCGCTCCCGCTCCACGCCCGCGGGCGCTGGCCGCTCCAAGTCTGCGCCCTGCACGGTCCGAAACCGCGCCGGCGGCAGCAGCCGGCAGTTGCCCGGCAGTTGCCGGCAGTTGCCCGGCAGTTGCCCGGCAGTTGCCCGGCAGTTGCCGGCAGTTCGTGGTCGGGCGGGACTGGCGCGTGTCGGGGCGGAAAAGTCTTAAGTTTCTACTTGAGGATAGCGGCTGCGCGCAGGGTTTTTCTTTATGGCACGGCGCGAAAGCATGGCCGGCAGTTGCCCGGCAGGTGCCTGGCAGTTGGTCGCCGACAGTTGCCCGGCAGTTGCCCGGCAGTTGCCCGGCAGTTGCCCGGCAGTTGCCGGCGGTTCTTGAGATGTGCCCGCCTTTCGCCGCGGGTTTCTTCAGACGGCGGAGTGGACCTTTGGACGGGCCGCCCCGCCCTTCGCGGAGCGGCCCGGCGCCCCCGTAGGAATCCCCATTAGAGTCGCCGCAGGTATCCCCGTTGGAATCCCCATAGGACGCCCCGTAGGGATCTCCGTAGGAATCCCCGCAGGGGTCCCCGTGGGAATCACCCTAAGAGTCCCTGCCGCCAACCGCTTGCCTTCCGCGCGCCGTCAGAGAAAACGTACAACAGGACCCATGTTGACTTGGAAATCCAATCGGTCGCCGCTGAGGGTTCATTTGGGTTTCCAGGCACATTTAGCGGCTTCCCTCTTGTGGACAGTAACGAACTCCCCACGCAGCGCCGACCGCCGACGCGCGCGCGCTCGCGCTCTCCTGACATAATTGAATATTTTATTAAACGATCGCAGACGCGCGCGCGCGCTGTATTGTCCAGAATAGAAAAGTCGCCATGTTGGCCTGGAAACTGAAGTGCTCCCTAAGCGGTGACCGATGGGATTTCCAAGTTAACATGGGGCCTTACGTACCGTTTACTGGCCGGCAGCGTACAACGCGCAGACCGCGCCGCCGCGCAGCTGCGCGCGCGCGCCTCAGCGCGCTGATTGTCAGAATAGAAAAGTCGCCATGTTGGCCTGGAAACGCAAGTGTACCTAAGCGTGGAACGATGGGATTTCCAAGGACACAAGGGGCTTCTACGTACCCGTGTTACTGCCGCCGCGTAACAACGCGCAGACGCGGCGGCGCGCGCGTCCGCGCGCTGATTGTCCACAATAGAAAAGCGCCCTTGTTTGCCTGGAAACTGAGGTTGCTCCTTAGGGCGACAGATGGATATTTCCAAGTTAACATAATCCGGGGGGCATCTACGTGCCTGTTTACTGCCGCACATGCGTACAACGCGCAGAAGCGCGCGCGCGCGCGCGCGCGCGTCCGCACGCTGTAGTGTCCACAATAGAAAAGTCGCCATGTTGGCCTGGAATCGACGTGCTCCCTTAGCGGTGACCGATGGTATTTCCAAGTTCACATGGGGCTTCTACGTACCCGTTTACTGCCGCAGCGTACAACGCGCAGACGCGCGCGCGCGCTGTATTGTCCACAATAGAAAAAGGTGCCATGTTGGCCTGGAAACTGAAGTGCCCCCTCAGCGGTGACCGACGGGAGTTCCAAGTTAACATGGGGCCTTTACGTACCCGTTTACTGCCGCAGCGTACAACGCGCAGACGCGCGCGCGCGCGCTGTATTGTCCACAATAGAAAAGTCGCCATGTTGGCCTGGAAACTGAAGTGCTCCCTTAGCGGCGACCGATGGGATTTCCAAGCTAACATGGGGCCTCTACGTACCCGTTTACTGCCGCAGCGTACAGCGCGCAGACGCGCGCGCTGTATTGTCCACAATAGAAAAGTCGCCATGTTGGCCTGGAAACTGAAGTGCTCCCGTAGCGGTGACCGATGGGATTTCCAAGTTAACATGGGGCCTCTACGTGCCCGTTTACTGCCGCTGCGTACAACGCGCAGCCGCGCGCGCGCGCGCGCGCAGCCGCGCGCGCGCGCGCGTCGCGCGCTGTATGTTCCACAAAGAAAAGTCGCCATGTTGGCCTGGGAACTGAAGTGCTCCCCTAGGGTGACAGATGGGATTTTCCAAGTAAACTATGGGCCTATACGTACCCGCTTACTGCCGAACGCGTACAACGCGCAGACGCGCGCGCGCGCGCACGCGCGTCCGCGCGCTGTATTGTCCACAATAGAAAAGTCGCCATGTTGGCCTGGAAACTGAAGTGCTCCCTAAGCGGTGACCGATGGGATTTCCAAGTTAACATGGGGCCTCTACGTACCCGTTTCCTCCCGCAGCGTACAACGCGCAGACGCGCGCGCGCGCGCGCGCGCGCGCGCCGCGCGCGCGTCCGCGCGTGTATTTCCACAATAGGAAAGGTCGCCATGTTTGGCCTGGAAATGAAGTGCTTCCCTTAGCAGGTGGACCGATGGATTTTCCAAGTAAAATGGGGCCTGTACGCACCGTTTCCTGCCGAGCGTTACAGCGCGCAGACCGCCGCCGCGCGCGTCCGCGAGCTGTATTGTCCAGAATAGAAAAAGTCGCCCAAGTTGGGCCTGGAAACTGAAGTGCCTCCCTTAGGCGTGACCGATTGAATTTCCAAGTTACATGGGGATCACGGGCCGTTCTTTACGCCGCAGCGTACAACGCGCCGACGCGCGCTGTATTGTCCAGAATAGAAAAGTCGCCATTGTGGCCTGGAAACTGAAGTGCTCCTTAGCGGTGCCGATGGATTTCCAAGTTTAACATTGGGGCTGTCTACGTTACACGTTTTACTCACGCCAACGTACAACGCGCAGACGCGCGCGCCGTGCGCTGTCCGCGCGCGCGCGCGCTGTATTGTCCAGAATAGAAAAGTCGCCATGTTGGCCTGGAAACTGAAGTGCTCCCTTAGCGGTGACCGATGGGATTTCCAAGCTAACATGGGGCCTCTACGTACCCGTTTACTGCCGCAGCGTACAACGCGCAGACGCGCGCGCGCGCGCGCGCGCGCGCGCGCGGCGCGCTGCGCGCGTTCCGCGCGCTGTATTGTCCCAATAGAAGAAAAGTCGCCATGTTGCCTGGAAAACTGAAGTGCTCCTTAGCGGCGACCGATGGGATTTCCAAGCTAACATGGGGCCTCTACGTACCCGTTTACTGCCGCAGCGTACAACGCGCAGACGCGCGCTGTATTGTCCACAATAGAAAAGTCGCCATGTGGGCTTGGAAAATGAAGTGCTCCCTTAGCGGTGACCGATGGGATTTCCAAGTTAACATGGGGCCTGTACGTACCCGTTTACTGCCGCAGCGTACAACGCGCAGACGAGCGCGCGGCGCGCGCGCGCGCGCGCGCTGTATTGTCCACAATAGAAAAGTCGCCATGTTGGCCTGGAAACCGAAGTGCTCCCTTAGCGGTGACCGATGGGATTTCCAAGTTAACATGGGGCCTCTACGTACCCGTTTACTGCCGCAGGGTACAACGCGCAGACGCGCGCGCGCGCGCGTCCGCGCGCTGTATTGTCCACAATAGAAAAGTCGCCATGTTGGCCTGGAAACTGAAGTGCTCCTTTAGCGGTGACCGATGGGATTTCCAAGTTAACATGGGGCCTCTACGTACCCGTATATTGCCGCAGCGTACAACGCGCACGCGCGCGCGCTGTATTGTCCACAATAGAAAAGTCGCCATGTGGGCCTGGAAACTGAAGTGCTCCCTTAGCGGTGACCGATGGGATGTTCAAGTTAACATGGGGCCTCTACGTACCCGTTTGCTGCCGCAGCGTACAACGCGCAGACGCGCGCTGTATTGTCCACAATAGAAAAGTCGCCATGTTGGCCTGGAAACTGAAGTGCTCCCATAGCGGTGACCGATGGGATTTCCAAGTTAACGTGGGGCCTCTACGTATGTTTTCTCTGATTGCGCGCGGAAGGCGGGCGGCGGGTCGTAGAAGCATGCAAACGAACATCCCCCTACAAAGGGTTTGTTGGGAACCGGATCCTAGCCAAAGCCATGTGGCCCATTCGCGGAGCCTCGCGCGGCGGCGGCCGCGGCCATGGTGGCCGCGCCGACGCCCCCGCCGCCGCGGCGCCGGCGGCGGCCGCCGCCGCCGCCCCCGCCGCCCCCGGCGAGGCCGCGGCGCCCGCGGCCAAGCGCCGCCGCTCGAGCCGCTCTGGCCCGAGCGGCGGCAAGAAGGCGGTCGCCGAGCGCGACGCCGCGCGCGCTCGGGCGGCCGAGCTGGCGGATGAGAACCGCCGGCTGGCCGCCGAGCTGGAGACCGCGCGCTCGGCCTTGGCAGCCGCCGGGGCCGCCCTGGAGGCTGAGCGGCAGGCGGCGGCCGCCGCGCGCGAGGCAGAGGCGGCCGCGGCGGCCGCGGCCGCCGTCGCGCGCCAGGCACAGGCGGCCGCGGCGGCCACGGCGGAGGCCGCGAAGCTCGCCGCCGAGGTGGCGAGGAACGAGCTCCACGCGGAGCAGCGATGCTGGGAGGCGTGGTCCAGCATTAATGAGGCCCCCCTTCCCAGAAGGGACGGCGCTGGCCGCCACCGCTGGCCCGCGGAGGCCAAGGCGGCGGCGGCCAAGGCGGCAGCGGCCAAGGCGTCCCCGCGGCGCTGAGGACGACGGGAAACATAACCACTCAGCCCCTCCCCTCCCTCCCTCCCCTTGCCCCCCCTCCTTCCCCCCCCCCCCTTCCCCTGAAACTCCCTCCCTCCCTTCCCTCCCCTCCCTCCCCTCCTCCCTCCCTCCCTCCCTCCCCCCCTCCCCTCCTTTCCTGCCTGCCTCCCCTCCTTCCCTCCCCTCCCCTCCTCCCCCCTCCCTTCTGCCCGCCGCCCCCCTTCCTCTCCACCGCCGGCCTGCTTATGGCCGTCCGCAAGCATTCACCCCCACCATTTTTTCGCAGCCACGTTGCGCAGGGCCTGTCTGCGGCCAGTTCTGGACGTTCCCGCGGCGCCGGCTGGCAAGCGCAGCGTCGGGGTCCCAGCGAGCCGCCAACGATGCCGCTGGAGTCCGTCTTCGGAGATGGCGCGGCGGGTGCTGGAGAGTTCGTTTGCTCATGCAAATGGTGCAAGCGGGACCAGAACACGCCCCAGCCGCTGAACCATCTGAAGGAGAGGAATCCGTTCTTATGCTGGCGCCGCCAGGGAGGGCGGGAGTGCAGCATTTGCCCGAACATGATAGCTGCAGACCCAGACTACAAGAACATGAACAGGCAGGTTCTCCTGGATTCTGTGACGCCAGGCCATGAGTCTTATTCCGAGGAAAACCAGAAGGCCCTCGACGGTAAGCTCGCGAAGTACGAGTCGGACAGGAACACGAACGGGGGCAGGGTGCGGGCAACCCCCAGTGGCCGCCAGACCGTCCAAGCACGCTCGACGGCGATGACCGAGAGCCGGAAGTTCGTGGGCTACTTGTGGCCCACCGCGTACTGGTCTGAGAACAATGGTGGGGCCAAGCCCGACCGGAAGCAACTCGGGAGTACGAAACATCAAGGTCGCCAGGAGACGAACTCAATTTGCAATATACAATTTCTTCCCAAACCAGCCGCGCGCTGAGACGCCATCGGGACACCACGGAGACAGGACCCCGTGAAGGCGCCGCCAGAACACCGCTAAGACACAGCTGGGACACCGTTGGACCACCGCTAAGACACTTTTGGGACACCGTTGGGCCACCGCTGAGACACCGTTGGGACACCGTTGGAGGAGGAGGAGGAGGACGAGGAGGAGGATGGATTGGTGCACCCCCAGGCAAAAAGGTCACCGGCGTCTGGATGAAAGAGGCCGGCCCAGACCCCACTCGTGCCATCGAGGTGTGGACTGTCAGCCAGGACGCCGTCGACCGCAACGGCGAGCTCGCGTCCACGGCGTACGGCGACATTGCAGACGTCGACAAAGCTCAAGAGCAAGCTTTGAAACGGGTGAGGGTCTCCTCAACCGAGAAGGACGGGGCCCTGAAAGTGACCAGTGGGCGTGGCCACGCTGCTGCGGGCGACGTGGATGCGGACGACCTTTTTCTGGATTCCGTGTTCAGCAGGAAGCATGGGGCGAATGGCAGTGGGGGCTCCCGCAGCGACGAAGCGGATTGCGACGGGGATGCGGGCACCGGTGGCCCCCCCGCGGACGAGGGGGAGACGGCGCCGACGAGCCCGAGGGCCAGACCCAAGGCAAAGGCTAAGGCAAAGCCAAAGCCAAAGGCCTTACCCGAGCTAACCCCCGTGAAGCAATGGTCAAAGACGGTTGTGCAGAAAGCTTTCAACGAGTCCGAGCAGGCCTCGTTGAAGTGCAAGCAGTTCCGCCAGAGTTTCACCGACCCCCGCCTGGTGCTCACGCTGACCGCCAAGACTGTGGAGACTTTGGTCGCTGCCGTGGAGAAGCGGCTCACCTCGGACTTGATCAACATGTACTCGTCGAACTACTCCGACACGGGCGCCGTCTTGCCAGGGGAGCCCGACGCAGAATCCCAGGGCATGCAGGTGTTCACCCAGTTGCGCGAGAACCAACGTTTCTTGCGTGTCGTGACGGGCTTGGTCACCAGCTTGCAGGCCACGCAGGGCGAGCTTGTCTCGGCAGAGATGCTGATGTC